CCGGCAAGGAGTGCAGCTGGTTCTTGCCTACTCGCTGTAAAACGCCCAGGTGGGAACCATGCCCATAGGCAATTATTGGTTTTCACATGTTGAGCGTTTTACAGCGCGTAGGAACGCGCTGTAAAACGCCCAGGTGTGAACCAGGCCTAACAGTGGGGGGGGAGGGAAAAACATTTTTGACTTTAATGTCTCTTTAAAGTCCTCATCACCATACCACTAGACATAAATGAGCAGTTAACACTTGCAGTGCGGGGGTAACCCTACCACAAGGGTATTTGTTTTTCCCCTTTTATCCATAGATAGGCTTTAAATGGAAGGGGGGTAGGAGGGCAACCACGTGGCCTGAGGGAAGGAAAATATGAATCTGGTTTGGTGGAAGGTCATATGGGTGTGTTCATCATCCAAGAAGTGATTATTATGCTATACAGAGCCGGGCTATCAGACCTGAATAAACCTAGATAATGACAGTGGTAGATAGATCGGTTTTAGGGCCAGCTAAAGTAATGCCATCTCAACGCATAAACATGCGTTTTTGGCTGAAACTTCAATGCCTGTTTATGTAATAGTTGCTATACAGCAGGATTGTCTTATGACCGCAATTCCAAGTTACCAGGAGCCTTATTACACTATTATGATAAGGTGATAAGGTTCAAATACAGAGGTATGAAATCATCAGCGCTATACTAAGGTGCAGGTTTACATTACCACACTGATGCAAACAGGATCAGAAATGTTTGCAGAGCAGAGACGGAGTCAGAACCATGTTGAAAAAACCAAAACAGGTTTGCAGGAACAGAACTGGAAAGATATAACCAGAAAAAAAAAACATACGGAGAGAATGTGTGCTAGGCTCTAGCTATGTTTATTACATTTACTACAAATTAATTTCTGCCAAATTGGGATAGCACCTATTGTATATGCGTTACATATTCTCATTCACATATAACTTATACAAAAAATAAAAATGGCAGCTTACCTTTATAGATTGTCACGGTCTGGGAACCAGGGCACTAGGGATTGTGAGCTCCAGGTTTTGCAGAGCAGTCCGGAACAGGGAACGGGCCGAGAACGCAGGTCTTGGGGAAAAAGGGAAACAAGTAACACTAAACGCAGGTGACTGGGAGCAAAGTGTCTGAAAAGTAAATGTGGGTGCGCCTGAGGCGCAGGGTCTATGGAGAGCCTGGTCTTCTCCAGAGCCTCTGATGGTGAGGATGTTGTGCAGCAAGTCAGCTCCCAGGTTGCAGCCCTCCAACACACCCTTGCAGACACAGCCAACAGAAGTGCAACGGGATCAAGGCAGGGGTCCAAGGCAGTACAGCACTGGGGCACAAGACTATTGGCAAACAGGACGAGAGACAGTGCCAAGAGGTGCAGGAAGGCTGCAGCAGGTGCACAGGGAAAGACTCAATACAGGACACACTGCGGAAAGACACACCGCTAAAGTGCATTGTAGAGAATGCTCAAGCGAATGCATGCGGGAGACATGCATACATGGAGGCAAAATACACCGAAAGATCCGAGGAATGTGCAACACTTAGACACAGGGCACAAGGAAAGAGCGTAACACAAGGAACATAATAATAAATAAAGATACAGGGCAGAGAAGCAGATGGACTGTGCTAGCACAGAAGTGAGCTGTAAAGGAAATACCCACAGGGCGGCCAGAAGGAAGACAGGAGAGGGCTTCCAGGGAGTGATGATGGGCATACAGAGAGAGACCCACAAGGAAGGCGCAGTGCAAGACACGGGCAAGGTACATGCAAAGGCAATGCGAAAACAGGAGCTCAGGGATGAATAGGAACTACCACAACAACAAGGAACACTGCACAGGTAGTCTCAGAGAGAGGGCATTACAGATAGGGCAAGCAGACACACTGGAGTGAAGAGAGGGCACACACAAGAGGATAGCAATCAGTAGACAGACAAGTATGGCCACTGACACCTCACAGGTGAATGCACAGCGCTATCACAGGGAATCACGGGGGTCTGAGAGTAAGCAGGGACACAGGGAACAGCAAGGAGGTCTAGCAAGCAAAGAATCTACAGGGGTAGACAAGGAATCCAGTACCAGGAACTACCAGAGAAACCACTAGGCACACAGGAGGGTCTAGCAGGAGAAAACAGACTCGTTGCATGAACACTGAGCAACAAGTGAGCTGACCCTAAATAGGGAAGGAAGCGAGAAGATTGGCTGTAGCCCTGTGAATCCCCATAGGCTGACAGCCAAGCAGCTAGGACATAGGGGAAAATCAGACATGGAAACTGGACAAAAGGGAAAATCTGTCACTGATACCAGGACTGTGTGATATAGATGATGTTTCTGCAAACTCCAGGACTGAACAATCCTGCTTAGTTCTCACTGTCTGGGGGGTTGGGGGAGTTTTGCTTCAAATACTTAACCCTGTCTGTACTGTGCTAGCAGATTTTATTATCAACTAGATGAGTGGGACTAATTTTGTTATCATTATTGTTAGGTATGCTGTGTAAATGGGAACACATAAACATATAGAGGGGGGTTCTCAAATTTGGCAGCAAATGTGGAATGACCCTTTACATTTTTTTTTTTTTCTTTCTGCTTTTTCCGGAATGAATCCTCTGCACGTGTCAGACTGGAAGCTTGTAACTTCCCTAAATGTGCAGACAAATGCTGAAAGATCAAATGTTACCGCAGACACAGAGAATTTGTTCCCTGATAGCATGGCGCTGAAATGATGTTTGTGACACATAGCGAGGCGAGGCTATTTACAACTGAAATTAAGGCATTTTCAAAAATGTCATGCACCTCTTTTTCAGTGCTGCTAAAAAAAGGGGACGGAATCCAACAAAAACATATTTTTTGTATGACTAGAAAATAAAGGAATAGAAAATTTCACCCCCCAAAAAAAGAGAGAAAGACATATTTGGATCTCAGAGGGTCTCGGCAGGTCCATTCACTTGTGTGCATCCAGCAGGAGGAACATTGCATTTGTACACTTGAAGGGCGCAAGCGGTGATACCTAACGTGTAGCACAATCACTGTTTTCGTAAGTAGGTGTACTGATGCGTGTTTATATTACTATGCACGCGTTCATTGGGGTGGGGGGCTTTAAAAACATTTTTGGATTTTTACATTTTTTTTTTTTACTTTACCTCATTGCTCACAAGCCTCCTGTGTGATAGCACATTACAGGTGACAGGTTCTCTTTAAGGCGACATTAGGGGTGTATTAGACCCCTAGTGTCACCTTTCCACTGCAAAGAAGCTATTCCAGCGCAGATCACGCTTAAATAGCTTGTTCCACGGTTTCTCTGGCAGGGAAATGACAGCTGAGGAACCGGAAGTGATGCAATCAGCATCGCTTCTGGCTCCATTCAGCGGGGAGGGGATCGGTGAATGGATGTTCGCCAGTCCCTCTACCCTGCAACACTGCTGCCGGCTCGGAGCGGCAGACGAATCGATTCCGTGGGCCTTAAGCAGACCGGATGTTCCCCACCCCTGCCTTAAAGGATAAGTATACATTAAAACAAAAGCACACTAATCCTTTTTGCCCCTTCATCCTGAGCTAACTGATCCCACAGTTGTATACTTAATGAGAGTCGACTGCCGCGGCCTTCATTGTTTATTTACATCCTGTGCCACAAGGCTTCTCTCTTCTGGCTGGGAGGCGCCGCACAACCCTGCAGACTTCTATGGGGCTCGTCTACCTTAATCTCCCGGCTGGAAGAGGGAAGTAGATAAGCCCCGTAGACCTCTCCATTCTCAACAAAGTGATTTCCCTCATCATTTCTGAATCAAAGGCCTCAGTCAGTTTGATTTAGTTCCAGGCCCAATCTGTATAGAGATCAAATGAAAAGTTCTTCTTAGGCCTCATTCACACGAGAAAAGGCCGGCACGTACAGCTCTGTGCTCCGTGCACGGCCGTATCGGGCAGCTCCCAGGAAGGACAGGTGCTGCGTGTGATTAGTACGCAGCCCCTGTCCTTCTCTATGGGAGTACGCGGCTGTACGCCGCCCTGCACTCACCCCAATTGCAGGTCCGTACAGGTGCGTGTGTCCCGGCTCGGACGCACACAGGATCCACCCTGTCAGAGTACGAGTACTTTTACCCGCACCCAGACAGACGTGCAGGGCGGGTGAGCGTAGGGCGGCGTACGGCCACATACTCCCATAGAGAAGGACAGGGGCTGCGTACTAATCACACGCAGCACCTGTCCTTCCCGAGTGCTGCCCGATATGGCTGTGCACGCAGCACGGAGCTGTACGTGCTGGCCTTTTCTCGTGTGAATGAGGCCTTTTATAGTTGCGGGGTCTGGTCTGAGGCTGAAATCTGAAGGTTTACATGCTTTCAAACTTTTATTTCACTTTTAGCCCTTATTGAAGAGGATTGATCAGAACTGGAGCAGTTGCCCATAGCAACCAATCAGCTTCTATCTTTAGTTTGTTCAGTTTAGCTTTGAAAATGAAAGAGAGAAGCTGATTGGTTGTTATGATGCTCCGGATTTTGTCTGCTCGTTTCGATAAATCCCTCTCGTTGAGTCTTGTCAGTTAAGCAATGGAGCGGCCGAGGGGGGCGACGCCATTGCTGGGTCATCAGTTGTACTTAATGCAGTTCTGGACAGAGGGTCACATTAGGGCAATGTCTGGTGTACATTGTGAAAGTCAGGAAGAATTTGGATTATCTCTCTGAAGTCACAAGCCTGACATTTATTGCGGACTGTTACTGTATCATTGCTTTTGTATAAAGTTGTATATATTTTTCACATTTTATTACTTTCTATTATTTACTATTAATTATTACTATTCTATAAGCTTTGTCTTTTCACACTGAATAATTCTGAGCACTTATATGGGCTGAACAGAGCAGAGCTGCCATAGATGAACTTTTCACACACAATGGGTCACCCTCCTTTACACCGTCACCAACACCACCTCACAGCTTCCCGCTATCCTCAGCCCTGACGTCACACCAGACTCCTCCCCTCGGCGTGTCAGTGCCACATCCTCCGCTGACGTCAACGGCAGTCGCCATCTTGGCGGAGCAGCGGTGGTTACCAGCTGTGTTCTCCTCACACTGAGCCGGCGGAGCGGAGAGAGCGAGCCGGGGGGAGAGCGCGGCCTAATGAGCGGAGAGCGGGCCGCCAGATAGCCCTCCCCCGTCCGTCTACCGTGTCGTAGGAGCCCCCCCCTCTTCTCCCCCACCATGAGTTCCATCAGCACCATCACACAGCGCAACTCCGGCCTGGTGCAGCGCCGAACCGAGGCCTCCCGCAGCGACCGAGAGAGGGCGGACGAGGACCCAGAGCGGGACCGGGAGGAGCAGGAGGACGACGAAAGGGCCGGAGACAAGGAGGCCAGGCTCACCCTCATGGAGGAGGTGCTGCTGCTCGGCCTAAAGGACAGGGAGGTGAGGAGGGGGGTCTGACATTATTATTATATCAGGACAGGGAGGTGAGGATGGAGGTCTGACATTATTATTATATCAGGACAGGGAGGTGAGGAGGGGGGTCTGACATTATTATTATATCAGGACAGGGAGGTGAGGAGGGGGTCTGACATTATTATTATATCAGGACAGGGAGATGAGGAGGGGGTCTGACATTATTATTATATCAGGGAGGTGAGGAGGGGGTCTGACATTATTATATCAGGACAGGGAGGTGAGGATGGAGGTCTGACATTATTATTATATCAGGACAGGGAGGTGAGGATGGAGGTCTGACATTATTATTATTATATCAGGACAGGGAGGTGAGGATGGAGGTCTGACATTATCATTATTATTATATCAGGACAGGGAGGTGAGGAGGGGGTCTGACATTAAAGAAGAACTATTTCCAAGTAAAATGTACTTTTCCCAATAGTTTGGGACGCGCGTCGGCTCTATAGATTGATAATTGAGTGATCATATACCGGCAATCGCTCAGCTGGCTGCTTCTCCCTGCAGATAGCAGAAACTGTCAGTCACCACTCCCTGCAGGGATTCCCCTCTCTGTTCCTCCAGCTCTTATTGGGGGGGACAGACAGGGGATGGGGCGGGCACAGCTGGCTCTAGAGAGGCAAAGCCAGCTGTCGATCAGGCAGTGGGGTGATTACCGACAATATTTTCAGGATCATTCCTGGCTGCAGCTCTGCTCTGTTAGTATATAGCGGGCAGTAGCACGCTATATGCTGACTGGGTCACAGGAGTATATTAGTAAATCTCCTCCTGTAAACCAAAAGAGAAATAAAGCCAAAAAATTTTGTTGCACAAGTGAAAGCATCTGGGAACAACAGCAACTCAGCCACAAAATGGTAGGCTACGTAAAAGGGGTCAGCTCATGCTGAAGCGCAGAAGTCGCCAACTGTCTGTAGAGTCAATAGCTACAGACCTCCAAACTTCGTGTGGCCTTCAGATTGGCACAACAACAGTGCGTAGAGAGCTTTATGGAATGGTTTTCCATGGCCGAGCAGCTGCATCCAAGCCTTACATCACCAAGTGCAATGCAAAGCGTCGGATGCAGTGGTGTAAATCACGCCGCCAGTGGAGACGTGTTCTCTGGAGTGACCAATCACGCTTCTCTGTCTGGCAATCCGATGGGCGTGTCTGGGTTTGGCGGTTGCCAGGAGAATGGTACTTGCCTGACTGCATTGTGCCAAGTGTAAAGTTTGGTGGAGGGGGGATTATGGTGTGGGGTTGTTTTTCAGGGGTTGGGCTTGGCCCCTTAGTTCCAGTGAAGGGAACACTTAGGGCATCAGCATACCAAGACATTTTGGACCATTTCATGATCCCAACCTTGTGAGAACAGTTTGGGGATGGCCCCTTCCTGTTCCAACATGACTGCATACCAGTACACAAAGCAATGTCCATAAAGACATGGATGAGTGAGTTTGGGGTGCACAGAGTCCTGACCACAACCCAATAGAACACCTTTGGGATGAATTAGATCGGAGACTGAGAGCCCGGCCTTCTCCTCCAACATCAGTAGCTGACCTCAAAAATGTGCTTCTGGAAGTATGGTCAAACATTCCCATATACACACTCCTAAACCTTGTGGACGCCTTCCCAGAAGAGTTGAAGCTGTTATAGCTGCAAAGGGCGGGCCAACTCAATATTGAACCCTACGGACTAAGACTGGGGTACCATTAAAGTTCATGTGCGTGTAAAGGCCGCGTCCCAATACTTTTGGCAATATACAGGTGAAACTCGAATAATTAGAATATCGTGCAAAGTTCATTTATTTCACTAATGCAACTTAAAAGGTGAAACTAATATATGAGATAGACTCATTACATGCAAAGCAAGATAGTTAAAGCCGTGATTTGTCATAATTGTGATGATTATGGCTTACAGCTCATGAAAACCCCAAGAACCCCAAATCCACAACCTCAAAAAAGTAGAATATTACATGCAATCAATAAAACAAGAATTGTACATAGAACAATATGGGACCTCTGAAAAGTACAAGCATGCATATGTACTCAGTACTTGGTTTGGGCCCCTTTTGCAGCACTTACTGCAATTACTTTTGCACGATATTCTAATTATTCGAGTTTCACCTGTAGTGTATATTCTTCTGGTTTTACATGGGCCAGATGGCTTATAAATGTGTATAATTTACTGTTGCTATTCCACCTCTTTGCTATGCTAGTACTTTAACCCATTCATACAAGAAATATTAGCATTAGGTGTAGCTATTCTTTAGATGACATCAGTTAGTGTATTTCTTCTTTTGTACCTAAATTGGGGTATAACTGGCAGGAATCACCCAAAATTGGCTCCATGTGTGACCCTATTCCTTTAGCAGACATCAATCAGTAGATCAACTTTTGCCAAAGGAACCTGTTGGAAATCTTCAGCTGAACCGTTCATTCATTCAGACAGAAGCAGCAGGAATTTGTCCATCCATGTTGTTCAGCATGGATGGAGGTATCTGTTATATTGTTTGTTCAGCCCGCAGGTTGAATGTAGAAAATATATCCATGTGTACCCTACTTAAAGAGGTACTTTACCCTTATCTTCAAAATAACAACAAAGGCACCTTTTAGGAATGTTTAGTAATGGCAATGTACAAGCAGATACTAATTGCCGTCTTTGTATTCTTTGCATACCTTGTTTTCCTTTTCTTCCTTTTTTCGTCTCACAGTGGCCATTTTTACTAAGTGCAGATGAATCCATCTACCTTTTACTTCCTGGAACTCTGGCACTTGTGACTAGGACATGTGACCGTGCACATCCTCTCAGGGGAGGAAAATGCCTTTCCCTGGGATCTTGTGAAATGACAGCTGAGATTTCCCAGTAATGCTCTGCTGATGTACCCTTCCCAGGATGCAACGCTTGGTCACACACATATTACATCACTTTTGCCAAAGAGAACCAGGAATAAAAAAATAAAAAAAACAAGAATTTGTAAAATGAAAATGTGTTTAGGTAATGAATGTAAGATGATTTCATATCGGCATGCAGAGCTATATGCTGGTGTGATTTAAAAACATTTTTTTTTAGCCAAAGGGGGTAAAAGTCTGCTTGAAGGTCAAGGCAAAGTTTTAACTGTTTTGTAATAACTATTATTTTTTTTTTTTTTATAATGCATCACCCAGACACAAGTATTTGTGTTGCGGTGCCCATTTAAAATGAAATTAGGTTGCCCTAATGCAGCCAATGTCCATGCCCTGAAATAGTGATATACACCCTTCAGACTTTGGTTTTTGTTTACTTGGTGATGATTGGCTTTGTGTCTGCAGTCCTCTTTTTTTCTCCATTAAATTGTCTATAAGTTGGTTGAAATCAGCACACATTCTCCGTTTTATATATCATAGGAGCTTTTGTACTCCACAGTCTTGGCATATCTTTCAGGTAGGATTGCAGATCAAGCACCAGTGTAGAGTTGTTGGCAACCAGACGTCTTGTATAGATGTCGCTTTATGAATAAAGTATGAAGTGACAACAGGCTCTTCATTGTGTACAGACTTTGTTGAAGTGTCAGCTTCACGTTTGAACCTGAGAACAGAATAGAATATTCCTCTGCAGGAGACTGAAGCATAAAGCTGGCCATGCACCTATAGATGATCTGCAGATGTTCTATGGTCAGATGGAAAAAGTACAACAGATTCCTCCATCTACGCTAAACTGTGTGTATGGAGGAATCTCCCGCTGGGCCAAGCTTCAGTATCTTGCTAGACGGCTCCGCTGGCTCTCAAAATACCTGAACAAATCCTGCATCCAATCAGATTGTTCAGCTGTTTCGAGAGCCAGCGGGGCCGACCAGCAAGATACTGAAGCTTGGCCCAGCAGGAGATTCCTCCATCCACACATTTTAGCTAGATGGAGGAATCTGTTGCATAGATAATCTGCAAATAATCTATAGGTGTGTGGCCAACTTTAGGTCGGTTCTTACTTTCCCAATGCTTGAACGCGTGTCCTGCTCGTATGCTTTTTTTTTTTTCTACTGTTGCCTCGGTTCAGCCCATTCTTTTCAATGGGCTGTTACACGTGCAACAAACGCGGCAAAGAAGCTCATTCAGCAGTTTCAACTTTGTGCTTCTTGCGGTTTTTTAGCACACATCAATGTGTGGGCAAAAACCTGTTTTACCAGCCGTTTTGGGGTGCGATTGACAAGTAATGGCACTGCAAGGGTGTTGCATGTCTTCTAACATGTTGTATGAATGTGCTTCAATGCACACGCATGATGCACTTTTGCCATGCATTCACACAAGGCCAAATTGTGAACCGGAACTAAGTGCTAGCCTTGAATCCTCGTGTTTAGAAATCCTGCCAGTATTCCATCTGGTGTTATAAGTAATATAAAAATATATATTTTGCTCGCTTGTTAAAATGCAGAAAGTTGGGGAGCTGGTCCAAAGCTTTGTGTTGCATTGATATTGCCTCTTTGGCTCGGAGGCTTCTCTGTCCATGTCATTCCAGGCATTTGTATAAGAAGTATTGGGGCGTATCTCAGCCCAGTTTGCTTTTATTCTGTCCGCTCCTCTGTCCGCTCCTCTTCAGCAGGAGGATTATGTGTTGTAGTCTCAGGTGATTCATATAGATCTTAGAAGATGGTGGATCTAATCTAGGAGATTTTGGAGGGTTTTAGGGACCCTAAGAGTAAAATGCTTGTGCTACCCAATGCAGGGAGAGCTGCTGAATAGGAGCTCTCCTTGTAAACAATATAGTGGATAATTGCCTCTCCTGTTGCCCGCGCTGCTCAACATCACCCTGTGGAACAGAAATCACTTCTGAACTCTTTTTAGAAACCAAAACTTGTGGGGTACTTTTTCAATAATCGATTATGTCGATTAGTTGTTGCAGCCCTATGTGGGGGTGTCAGTATCCTGCCCTAAACCCCCCACCTCCACCATGCTTAGTGGTTCTTCCTGTTGTCTTCTGTTCTATGTTACTACTATGTCCTGTAATGATGATGTGACGAT